AAACTTTTCACTTCCTTTTTAAATGAATTATTTAAAAAATCTAAATGAATCAGTTAAATTCGCCTATCAGTATTTGAAAATTTTAAATTATTCGTTCATCAATTGAATTTATAGTAATTAAACAATATAATGTATGATTACAATAATTCGCATTAGTCCATTTTTTTCTACATAATTATTCTTTTCTTCAGGAAAAAAATTTAAAAGGAAAAAATTCCGAGTTATTTTGCATAATAATAAATAAATTAATTAACGCTCATAAATATTTATCGAGCCCTACATGCTAGCAAAATTAGCGTAAATATTCTAACAAAAAAGATGCTTACGTAACAAATTGCGCGTAATTGACGTAAAGCATCGGATGCGTGATAAATGTATGGCAAGAATATACAGCAAATGCAATTAGCAATGTACCAAATAATACCAATGATGGAAAACGTATGAAAACAGATGTGGCAAGCATCCAAAAGGCACAATTGAGCTGTGAAAAATGTACAATTCCGCATTCATCTAATGGTGTTAAATTCGAATGTTGTGGACAGGAAAACTGAAATGAATTTAAACTTCGATTAAACTGAAATGAGTTAAAATTTAACTGAATTTAATCAACATTTCAACATTGAAGAAATACCTGAATAGAAAATTCGTAGTAAATAAAAACAACATAGTTGTAAGTATCATGTACATATTTTAAGCATCATATACTTCCTATCCAATTGTTTAATTAATATTACAAAAAAATATTTTAACCAAATTTTAAAAAACTAATCTTGGTGCATATTCATCACTTCAACAACTGATATTAATATAAAATTGAAATTTATAAGGTTTTTTTCATTATTTCATTTATAGAAAAAAGTATGAAGAAATTTCTTTTCTCTATTTGTAGAAAAAAATTTTGAAAAATGAAACGAACTGCATTAACAACGCCACATATAAATAAAAGTGATATAATTAATAAAATAATAACTGTATGACCAATAGTTGTTCTCGTTATAAATTGGCAAAAATTCTGAAATTTTTCAGCTTTTAAAAAAAAAATTACCGAAATTAAAATTGATGATTAATCAAAAATTTATCAAATAATTTGCTCAGCAATGTGTTGAACAATTTATTAAATATTAAAATTTGAAAAAATGAAAAAATTGAAGGATTATCATATATTTAGTTATTATTTTCATTATTACAAGTAAAAAATGATTCATCAATCGAGAATAATCTTTAAAGGAATTTTGATCTCGTTCCAAAACTGTAAATGATTATTACTTATCTTAAGCACTATTCTGCGTCATTAATTCACTCTGTCAATTGTTGCAACAAAAAATTTATTATAACAAACATACTTGAAAGAAATTTGCATAAAGCGTAAGTAATATCATAAAAATGATAGCCAGTGATATTATAATCATGATAAGCGTTGAAATTTGCCTGAAATAATTATTAATGTGATACAAAATAAAAGACTGTATTTGTCATATTAATTATACCATATCATGTCATATTAGACTAACCTTGGCAAAACCAAAACATGATAAATGCCATAAATAACGAGAAAAAATATACTAATAGCTAATGCTGGCACAAACCATTGATCAAATTGCACTTGATACTGAAATAAGTATAAATATTTTAAAGTGTAGTTAATTTTCCTCACTGCATTAAAAAGCAAAGCGAGGGAATTAAAAAAAAATACTGATATCAATAAATTCAAAAGAAATATTCAAAATTAGATTGGAAATAATTTTGTTCGCTGTATAAACTTTATTCACTGTTTATTTACTATAAAGGCAGTCATTTATTCATTCTTTATTCAACATTTTCCCTTAATATTATTTATGTCTTAAAAAGTTAAAAATTATTGTGATGTCCTCATTAAATTATCATTCATAAATGCTTCAGTTAGATAAAATGCTAGAAAAGTAAAGTGCAGCAAAAAAAAAAATTAAAATGATAGATTTTAAATGAGCTTATAGATATATTTAAACTAGATTGATTAATAAGCAAATTGACCGCTTTTTCCATCTGTTGATTTCGAAAGCATAATAACCAATAGTGCATCACACTTCTGCCATTATTGTCTTTATCAGTACTTTTTTTTTCATTTATTAGCGCCAATTTGTCCATTCGTCTATAATATCATTTCTTATTTAATTAAATTTTTCGAAATTTATTTTAAAATCGCGAATTTTTAATTTCATCTTACATTTTCTATAATCGATATTTTTTTTTTGCAATTGTTCGATCAACATCTATATTATTGCAAAGCAATCAAATTTTCCGTTGCATTTAATTTAATGATTTATTTGAAAAAAAAAAATGATATACTATTCACTTCACACTTATCATAAACATTTCACTCATCATTAAAATAATTAAAAATTTGGAAAATATTAATCAAAAATTAATCGAACTTTTTCCGACGTCCACCCATCGTAGCATTATTTTTTAATAAAGTATCATTAGCTGATGATATTGTTTGTAATAGCCTGTTAATTGCTTGTGGTACAGTAATTAATGAAAATCGTTTCAAATTCGGAAATAGTATTGATGATGGCAAACTGCTAGCACCATAATAATGCTGATCATTTGCAATACGCCAGAGTTGTCCACATTTTTCAAATCGAAAATTGCATTCAGCTTGACGTTTTGCTGCTTCTGCTATATATATTCCACTGGAATATTTTTTTTAACGACTCAAATTTTCCGTTTAAAAAAAAAAAAGCAATGCGAAAATAAATAATGCAAAACTTGATGTTAAAAGTTTCATAATTTCTGATTCTGAAGAATACCTTTCTGGAGCGATACGTTCAATATTAACAGCTTCTTCGATCGGATATCCAATCGCATCATAATGCCATTTCGTTAAACCGAATATTCCGCATGATACGGCACCACATTCAATTCCGCAACGCAATTGCAAATCCACAATTGTTGCATCGCAAAAACTCCTGGAAAAAAGAAGTCGGAATAATTGTTAGTATCAAAAAAATACAATCATACTACCAATTTGAAATACAAATACTTAAAAACTAACCTTATAAGTGCTTGCAAATCACAAGCAAAAGAGATTGCATTCTTAAGATGATCATCACGTGCTGCTGGTATACCCGAAATTACGAGGATACCATCTGACTGCAAACGAATGCAACCACATTTCTGTAACGAAGTTTAATACTTAATTGCTTATTTACTTTTAACTTTTTAACATTATTTCTATTAATATTAATATCTATTTGCTTAATTCAATTTCATTCATTTATTTACTTCATAATTATCTATGTTTATTTCTTATTGAATAGTAATTAGTGCAAATAATCAATTATTTTTTTTTTTATTATTATAACAAAATAACATATTCATAATTCATTTTATGTTTTCCTTTTCTGTATGAGAAAATCATACACTTTCTGAGGTATTTTTCCACTTATCTTTTTACTGAAAAGTCATTCATTTGAATAATTCGTTACCAAAAGGGTTGTTAAAAGCAAATAATGGCGAAGCGGTATGAAAGAAGAAATCCAAATTAAACTGTTGTGTGATATTGAAATTAACATAAATTCACTTCAAAACATTTTCGATCCTCATTTCTTTTACCTATTTACTTTATTCGTTTGTTTGTTTTATTTTTTTACTACTAATTTATTTGTTGTTTTAGTTTATTTTCCTTCTGCAAATTTTATCATAAGAAAATTGCAAAATTCCATAATCATAACTATAAATAAAAGTTATTTATAAAATCATACAAGTTTGGCAAAAATTAGAATATAAAATTTAAATTTTTTGAGCATTTAAATTCCCGATTTTAATTTAAGTTTAAAGTGTAATGTAATAGTTGTTATCATCTTACTTATTTTAAGTTTTCTCAAAGATAGTATCATTACTATTTATTACTAAAAATTATTCATCATTTTTATTTTTTCTTCTTTTGATTGTTGCCAAAAACGTCACTTACACTTTGCTTATCTACAATGATAATCTTTCCTTTCTTTCATTTGCATTAGATGAATAAATAAAATTGAGAATTGAAAAAACCAAATTTGATTTAACATCCTGAATGATTTCAAAATTGTAATTCGCTAAAAGTATATCTGAGAACTGCAACTGCAACAATAAAAAAAAAAAACAATTTTAAACAATCAATTTCAAATTACGTTTCTCTAAAAAGTTAAATGGTAATAAGACATTCTAATATTTGTTTTTATTAATATAAGATGATGAAAATATAACCAAATGAATTTTTAATAGAAAAAAATGAATAAATATATCAATTAAACAAATCATCATATAAATGGTTTCATTTTTATTCCACATTTGATGTACCCTGCAGAGAAAAAATCAAATTAAAATTTAAATCTAACGTCTCAATTTTCAATTCTAAAAGTTTATTCATTTTTCTGATATAAAAAAAATCGTTAAACAGCTGGTCCCTTGATAGCTTTCATTCCTTTTTTTGTTTCTTCAAAAAAAGAAAGAAAAAATTCAAAATTCTTTTAGTCGGTTAGAAAGTCTCACTAGCATTTCCTAAAATCTTTTCGAATTTCTTCCTTTCTTCCTTCCGAAACAATACAACTTTTATCACAACAGCTGTTTCCATTCGTTAAATTTCACATCTTTTTCTCGTTACTTTTACTATCATTTTTTTACAACCGTTATTTAAAAAAAAATATGAGAAAAGTTATCCAACTATTAAATTTGCACAACGTTTTTTCATTTTTTAAAAATATTGCTTAAAAAAAAAACAAAAACGACATAGTAGAAAGCAACAATCAATCAGACTATTGACTTTTTTTTTTCATTTTTTTCTTCTTTTCACTATCTTTTGACCTATTTCTTTTCTTTTTCGTAAACAATTGCTAAAATCAATCCACAGAAAAATATATCAATTTACGAAGTTACTTTCTGCATTTCTTTTTCAAAAGTTTGAAATATTCCTGACGCTTAAAGCAATAAACAAAAAAAAAGACGGGAAGCGAAAAGAAAAAGAGAACGGATGAGCTCTTTTTAACAAATTATAATTTAATAAAAAAGTTCCTTCAAAAAATTTTTTTATTCCGATAATTAATCCCATTTTTCTCTAAAAATTGATAATCATTTCACAGATTTGATTTAATACTGAAAAAACTTCCTTATACTCAAAAATTTGTTAATGTATCACTTAATTTTCAAAAATAAAAGTCAGCAATTTTCTTGTTCATCAGTAATTTATGTTGATATATTCTTTTCGTAAATAAAAATAATTTTAATTTACTAAGAATTCACATGTTTGACATTAAAGTACGAATAATCAAATATATTAATTGATTATTTTGTTTAAACGTCGACAAAAAAAATTAAAAAATATTGTCTACTTTGATAATTTGATCTATTCGAGAGTTGAATTCATTCAACAGTTGTGCTGAATCTTGCGCACTACAGCATGACAAAATATCTTCCAAACCAACCAAGCGACAATATACGACACTGCAATCACATTTTTTTCTTAATATTACTGTAACATATATTACTGAAAATTTTTGAAAATAAAAAACTCAAAAAATTCAAAATTTTAGCTTATTTCAAGAGGAATCATTGGTAACATAACTACATAACAATAATATTACAAACTCAAATTTTTACCACTAAAATAGAAAAGAAGTATAAAAATTGTATTTTAAATTTTTGAAACAAAAATTTAAAAATTGATAACAAATAACAAAAAGAAATGGCAAACCTAGTTTGATTATAATGTTCTGTATATATCGTTGGTGGAGATTTAGCAAATTGTTGACGCGCTGTATGTACCAAATGTGATGGTACCGAAGTTTGCAGTAAATCCATCTGCAATTTTTATAATTTGTACTTTGCTTTAGAAATTTATAATTTGTACTTTGCTTCATTCACTTGTTCATTAATTCATTATATCGATTACGTGTGTACTTTTCAGTATTCGCGTGAATCAGATAAGCATGTGGCATATATATGTAAATATGAACTTAAATATATTTTTAATGTGTCTTCATGACTTTATATTTATATATATTATTATTTATTTCATTATTCCACTTCATGACAAAAAATATTGCTGCAACAACGAAAATTTGCTACTTATGTGGTAGTAACAATATGTTGTTGGAAATATTGATATATGATCGATTAACATATTCTCTGGGGAAGATCGGGAGAGATAAAGTGGAAATTTGGACAACTGAAAAGTGAGCATTGTGAGTATTCCAATCAATCAAACAGTGTTATCAAAATGATACATCTAACCAAATGGATTTATTGATCATAATTATTATATATGATTCAGTGAGAGCATGAAGCTTATAAAGTGAAAGAAATAAGCATTCAGTTCTTAGAATAATTTGATCCTTGACCATATTTATTAAAGCTAATTCTAATTTAACTGTCTATCAGTAATTAATGTTTCCTACTTTTTAATTCATTTAATCTTGAATTTTGCTTTTTCTTTTTTCTGCTGCAGTGAAACATGAAGTGATCAATAAACGATGCTAACAGAGGAATGAGTCATCCTTTAAATATATTTCAAAAATCGGAAATTAAATGAGCTCAAAATAATACAATAACAACTTTTTCCTTGTTTTCAAATGAATTTTTTTTGAGGATGTAAGGCAGAGGAAAAGTCAGAAGAAAAAAATTAAAACCTATGATTTTTAAAATTCTTAAAATCTCTTTTACAAATTTTTTTCGAATCTGCTGAAATTGTTGGACCAAAAATAAATAGCGTTACTTGTTTGCACGGGTGTAATAAATCTCTGGCATTTTTTCGAAATTCAAGTATTAAGATTTTTTAACTTTTTTGAATTCCTGTAAACAGGACCATATATGATTTTTCACAGATTTATAAAAGAAAAAAGTTATATATATATATATGATTACATATACAGTGAATTAGTTCTTCATGTATATAAATAAACTTTTTAAAATGTTCCAAATTATTTCCTATAATTTCCTGAAAAAAAGAAAATTCTTAAAGCGTTATTTGATTTAAGAAATTTTTCTCAATATAACTTTCAGTCAGAGAATTTGTGCATAAACGAAATTAAGCAAGAATGAAATAGAAAGATAAAATATGAAATGTAACAAAGCAATCGATCATTTTATTATGCATAAAAATAACTTATGTGGATAAAAGAGAAAAACTTACAAGCCTAGCATTCTCTTGAATAGCACGTTCTTCTGCTGCAAATGCATTTCTTGCACGCAGGAAAGCGGCACGACAAATTTGTTCCCGTGTTGAATATGAATAAAATCCGATGAAATGTACCCAAGCATGGAAGATTGCTATCGCCAACAACTGAAATTATGCTTTATAGTATTTTGCCAGAGAGATTCAAAGACATATTTCAAAAAGCTAAATAATTAAAGATTGATTTAACATTGGAAAACATTCTAATTCTAATTATTCTCTAAAAACACAACCGACAGTCAGCATATGACGATATGCAATAGCATGTCTCATTTATCGAAAAATCGTTGCCACAATTTATGCGTAATTTAGCTTCTTTATTTATTTATTTATTTTTTGAAGTAGCTCGTTTTTAATTGACAAAAATCACTTCATGTTTCTTAATGCTAAATAAACTGGTTCTATTTATCTATTATTAAAAAGAACGCGACTATTTCCGATTTATCAATAAAAATTTTCGCTTGATTTTTTTTTTAATTTATCGTAATTCATTAGTAAATTAATAATCATTAACAATGGTCTGTTCTTTTTTATGAACAAAAATGGAACACAACCAGTAAATTATACCAAAAAATACATTTTCTCATTAGGAAATCATTTCTTTCATTAATTTCAATTATAATGAGTTGTTCATTTCAACTAAACATCTGACTATTTTTATTTCTTTCTTTATTCTTTGTTTGTTCAATCAAAATTTACATTTCTTGTTAGCCAATTTATCATTTTACCATATATGTTGTCAATTGTTTATCCATCATAACACACTTTTCCTCATTTCATCTGCTATTAATTCATACCTATGTGATGAAATATGATTGGATGACGAAGTGATATACTCAAAATATTTTACTTTTGCTACAGACCAAGCAAGTTTTTATTAGCAAAATGGTGATTGTAATATCATAAGTGATAGCTGTATGTTGGATAGACTTCGATGGCAAAAATATGTAATATATATTATCATTTCCTTATCGACTTTTACTGGTCATGCTGTTATGCACCACTCAAAAACAAAAACTCAAGTGAAATCATGATAGGTGACTTCCAACTGATTTTATTTATCATACCACTTATTAATTTATCGTAGATTTGCATGAAAGAAATTTTGAAGATACATAGAACAAAATAAAAAGATCTCATCAATACTTTTTATTTTTGTTTGTTAAAAATAGATTTGATTTGATTTCATAAAATAAATTACATGTAGGATGAAAATTATTCTTTAAAAAAATATCTGTTTTTATATTGCCACAAATTACAGCAATCTATTGTGGAGAGGTAAGAGGAAAAGAGTGAGGGAAACATGAAATAAATATAAAGATGAAATAAAAATAAAAATTATTTCAAAAAATTTTCAGCATTCGGAAGAAAAAAAAAGCATTCCTTTTATTGAAATCATAGCTTTTAATGTTGTCTCTCAGGCGTCGATTCAACACTTTTTATTGGTTAATTTGATAAAAATGATTAAAAATACATTTCAAAATGCCATAAAAACCTCATAAATTTTCACTTCAAATAATACATTCATTTAATATATGAATAAAGAAAGTACTAATAAAAATTTTCACTGATCACAAAGAACCGGTTAAGATGGAAGGGCAAATTGATTGAGTTTTGTATGACATTAGAATTTTTTGCAAAATCAATTTTTTTCAAAAAAAAAAAGTTAATCACAATACATACATTAATCCATTGTGATATATTTTATTTGATATTTTTAAATATTTAATTTTTTTATTTGCTGATTTAATCGAATTTATTCAAATTGATCTAAAATGTAGGGTATTTAATATTAAACATATAACGGCATAAAATATGCATAAAAGCAGGAATAAATTGCAAAAAGATTGCCGTATTATAATTGTTTTTAAAACCAAAAAATTGTTGAAAACAAAAGAAGCCAATCATCGTTCACTTATCCACTTTTATAGATTATTAAGAAGTTCATAGCATTGGTGAGTCAACATTATTCATGATTTTTATCACCAACTCCCTCATTATTTAATTCATATTTCTTTATTCACTTGTGCAAGTCTTTCTGATAAATCAAAATTCGTTGGTTGATAGCAAGGATTATTGAGAATTTTAAACTATGACAGAATTTTCTATGATCCACGAGAGAAATCAAATTCACCAATGTTGATCACTTATTATTTTCATGAATAATATACTAAAAAATTTATGATAACATACTAAAAACTAAAAATCCAATTATTCAATATCATAAAAAAATAATTTCTAAGGAATATTCTTCGCTATTAACAAAAGTGTAAGTTATAAAAGTCACTTTAAAAATTCTAAAATTTTTAGCATATTATCATTAAAAAAAATAATTCCTAAGGAAAAAAATACACTCGTTACTAACAAAAGTGCAAGTTATAAAAGTTAATTAAAAATTCTGAAATTTTGAAAATAAATAAAATTCAAATTTTGCAATTTTTAACATTCCTCATAGATCTCTGTTATACATAATGCAAATGAATTTTTCAAATTTCAGTGAAATAATTTGTTAAAAAAAAATAAACAGTTGAAAATATTTCACTTAATGATAAAGGATTGCATTAAAAATAGAGGAGAAAAAAGACACTTTATTCAACTAATATTAAATAATTCGAATATCTCTAACATCATCTTTTGTTAACTGCTAGGAATTATTTTTTAATTAAAAATTCTTTGATTTCTACCGACTGTCCTTCAAAAATTTCGAAATTATTTCGAATGCCTTTCTTTCAATCTTAATCAAAGAAAAGAAATGAAAAGAAAGGAATTGAAAAAAAAAAAAAAAAGAGAAAAAGTTCATTAGAACAGTACTACGCTTTAAAAGTTTTCCTTTAATTTCCTCATATTATTACACACATTCATCTGTTACATTTCATTCATTCAATACAATAAAATGAATGAATGAATGAAAAAAAAATCGAAAATGTGAAAGAGAATTTAAAACAGAAAAATTCAATCCCATTTTTCGTTGGATATTTTATTTTTTTGGACGGATATATATACATTATGGCAAATTCTTTCGTCTTCCATTTCCGTCTCAAACTTTTTTCGTTTCCTTTTTTTTTCTCCCTCCCTCTCTCTCTCTCTTCATATTCTTTTTGATGTTAGCATTTCCGGTCGATAAATACATAAAAATGGAACAAAAAATTCCGTTCTTTCGTTTTTTTGATTTTTTGTTAACGTTTTATAAGTTCAAATAACTACGTGCCTGCATGTGAATGTGTGTGTACGTGCGTGTATGTGTGTATGTGTGTACGTGCATATGTATACGTGTGTATGTAGGTACGTGTGTGTATGTATGTGTGAGTGTATGGAGATTCATAACAAAACAAACGAAATGTAATATTGTAGTTAACGGATAGAACTAAAGAGCAGGAGTGAAAACGGATTAATGCGCGGTAATGCGGGGGAAAAGCGGGAGAGAGCGATGAATGACGAGATGGAGAAAGGATAATGGAAAGAGGAGAGGAAAAGATTCAATGGTAAATCGATAATTTTATTCCTATAAACTTTCTTTTTCTTTTGTTCGTTTTCTTCTTTTGCCTTTTTCTTTGAAAAAAAGAGAATTTCATTTCATTTTTATTGTATTTAATTTTGTTACATGCAAATTTTGTCATTTTCCACATTATTCAATAAACTATTTCGGAAACCGAAAAAAAATTTTCTTTCCTTTTTTTTTTTTATTTTTATTAATTTGTATTTTATTCTTTCTTGTGGAAATTTTAAAATAAGAAAAGGAAGAAAGAAAGAAGGAAGGAGAAAGTTTTTTTTTTTTTGCGATTTAAATGAAAAATTTATATTTCATGATGTGAAAGGATATAAAATGAAATAAATGAAACAAAAATCACCAAAAAGAAGTATAAATGTGAATAACAAATTTAATTTTGCTATAGCCAATATAAAAGTAAATAATATAAATATGTAAAATAGACTGAATTTGTGGGGGATACGCTTCAGTATTGATTTACTGAACTGATTTACTTTAGTTTGTTTGGAAACCCTATTATAGATTATCTGATAAGAATTAGTAATTTGATATCTAATTTGATAATTGAAGAGTTTTTTTTATTATCAGTCATCGTACAATGAATCAACAAATGATTGATATTTGTTGCAGTATTGAAATTTTATCAATTTTGAAATTTCGTACTATATTTCCCCAGGGAAAGAAACAGTACAAAATACTGTGAATGAAATTGTCTTGTAAAACCGTTGCAAAATTAAATTGATAAAAGATCAAATGTTTAGACAAATGATTGACGATAATGACTTTTCTCCTCGTTCAATTATTAATTAACACAATTAATTTGTAGCACAGAAAAAAAAATTGATGAACACTAAGTGAAAAAAAAAGAAAGAATGAAAAACTCAATTGAAAATAAATGACATTAATGTATTTTTCAAATTTAAATTATTAATTTAATATCAATTTCCAACGATAAAATGTTCATTTTCATTGATATTTGAAACGATAAAATTGATTGAACGGAATGATCAAATGAATGGTTCCACTCCTATTTCATTTTGTAAATCATCCGATTTTGAACAGAACTATTAATTTTAAGTTACACAAAAAAAAAATCACAACAAAAAAAAAAAACAGTGAAAAGAAAGATAGATGGATTCTTGCATAGCAAGAAGTAAACAAAAAAAAAAAAAGATATTCACTTCAAACTATAAAAATTCTTTTGTTATATTCATAAAATGAAAAGTATCATAATTTAATAAAGCTTTCTTGTTTTGAATGCAAATTAAATTCAAATTCAGTGGAAATAAGTTGTTAGCTTTATGGATTTTAAAAATTAGCAATTAAAAAATTTAAAAAGCAATTCCTAGCATATATTAAACTGTAACATTAATATTTACATTTGATAGATAATTTTTTTTTTCTCTTCAATTCCTTACATTCCCGGACATCGTTCATCTCACGCTATTGATATTACCAGTTATCGGGATGTACTACGAGAGTTTTACACAACAACTGTCAAATGCTATTTCTTTCCAACAAATTTTCGAGTTCTAAAAAGTGATTGATCAGGCGATGAATTTTGTTCAGTGACAAAATGAAATGCTCATCCATTATTGTATGTGAAATTACTAAATTGATATTTTTACTCGTCTTATCTTCAAAATAGTTCGATCAAATATTTAAAAAAAAAAAGAAAGAAAAAAGAAAAAAAAATCATTTCAATTGTGGAAGCAATAGATTGTAATTATAATAACAATAAAATAATTAAAGAAGATGGAATAGAAAATGCAAAATAAACAAAATG